TAGGCCACCCACCAGGGGGGGGGGGCTGAGGTCCGCCAAGGCTTGGGGTGGGGGAGTAGAGGGGGTTTTTAAAGGGATCTGAACGCCCTGAGGCTGGATGCTCGGCGAATATTATTACTATTATCATTACTACAATTATTATTATCTGAGCCAAAATTGGCTTATCCATTGGCCGCTATTGCCTCCAAACCCTCGCCACCTCTCTTCGGCCCTGGACTCCCCAAAATCGTCAGGGTTGAGGGGTTTAGGGTTTAGGGGTTTAGGGTGTAGGGTTTTAGGGTTTAGGGTTTTAGGGTTTTAGGGTTGAGGGTTCAGGGTTTCTGCAAGTCCCTACGGGTTCTCAAGCCTGAACCCTAAAGAACCCTTCCCCCCTTGCAACCACCTCTTATTGTCCTTTCAGTGCCCCTTTTGGGCCTCCACGTTTCTTGTAGGGATTGTAAGGATAATCCCAACTGTAGCCCTTACTTGGAGGTTCATGGGACTTAGTAACTATTTATAACTGGGGTTATAACCCTACTTATAATTGGGGTAACCCCTAAAAGGCCATTTAGGGGGGTTATAAGTAGGGGTAGAAGCCCAGTTACAAGTAGTTACTAAGTCCCATGAACCTCCACGTAGGGCTGAGGTCTATCCATCTCCCCTTACCCCTTGACCTAGACAGCGGAAAGCAGCATAAGTCGTTCAATGTCATGTCTTTCTTTCACTTTTCGGCCTTGACTGCTCGAGGTTCATTGCAAATACTTACAGCTTGGGCAACCCCTACTAGTTCATTGACGGGAAAAAGAAGTAGGGTCATAAGCACAAAACGGGGTCTCCGCTCATATGCACTCCAAATTATCAAAGATCCTGATTGTAGAGGGCCCAAAGGGAGACCACCAGCTTTTGGAAACTTATCAGTGGTTGCCAAGTCCGCAAAGCCTCCGGGTATAGACAGTGGTCTGCGGACAGGTTGGAATTTTTGAAGCGATCCCCCTTGGCGTGGGTCTCTACATAGCAACTCGAGTCTTGTTAGGACGTCTTGGTTTCTTGCTACTATAGGGATCCATCCTTCGATTCCCTACAAACCACCTGTATTCCCTATAATAAGGACTAGTATTTGGGGGTCTCTATTGGGGTCCCCCTATTCAGACAAACTACCATACAAGCTACTGTGTCTCACGTAGTTCTTACAGAGTTTGGATTCGGATGCCTCTGGTTGAAGGTAGTAAGTTAGGTTAGTTAGTGCCATGGAAAACTGGGGCCATCATGTGGAGTTTATCATGCTTACCAAGTCCCTGACCCTTCAAGTACCTGTGAGGCCCGTCAGACTGCGGACGAGATTGCGGTTTTTATCTACGACCGCTTTACGTGGATGCCGCAGAGGCATGCCTCATTGTGCGACTTCCTGGACTCCGTGCTGGAGTTTGTGCAGGCGGGCAGGTTGTGCTACGTGCGGACCGTTCTGTTTTCCCGTCGTGCCCTGTTTGCGAGGCACAGGTGACGGAGGAGGTGTCAGCAGCTGCTGAACGCCCTTGCGCAGTATTGGCGCCTGGAGCGGCCGGGGCAGTGTCCCCGCGCCGCCTCCGTGCCTTTGCCCGGGTTTCTTCGGCAGCCCTGAGAGCGCGAAAAGGAGGTCGTGTGGTTGGCGTGGTGGGCGCAGCGCTTCGTCAGGTCGACACGCGATGTCTTTGCGCACGTCAGATTGCCTGACCCTTTTATTGGGCTCGAGCCGGGCTGCTGTTGCGTGTTTAGCGTAGTGTGCCGCCTGCTGCCCTGTCGGCCCCAGCCATGCCGCTTGTCGCGGCCTCCGGTCTCCGGCAGCACACGCGCGCATGTTTGGCACTCTGCTTTTTGTTGCCAGGCTCACGAGGTGGTGCCGCGGAACCTGCCTGCCTGGCGGTGGCAGGAATACGCGGCGCTTCCTGCGCCGGAGGCCGCGCAGGCGCCGGGGATCGTGGCGAGCCGCCGAGTCCTGTTTGGCTATGGCCGTTGTGCAGGAAGAGCTGCGGCGGCTCCAGACGCCCGCCTTGATTCGTGCCATCGAGGCGCGGATCTGGCGGGGCACGATGCGTCTGGGCCGCTTCGTCAGCTTGTGGCTCGCTGCGCTTCGGGTTGCAAGACTGAGCCGGCTGCTTTTAAGAACTTGTGCGCTGAGGGGAGGAGACTGGGAAGAGCCACTGTTCCTGAGGCTCTGGCGTTGAGTTGTCCTGGGTGGCAGGGTTCGCGCGCGTCTGCCAGGCCCCAGCAGTGACGCCCGCTCAGTGGTTGGAGGGCAGCTGGGAGGGGTGTCCCTACCGCGTGACTTGGGGCTCAGTCCCGAAGAGCGGCGTCGCTTCCTCCCCGCCCGACCCCTGGCTTCGCACGGCGTCGGCCTGGTGGTGTGCTTGCTTCCTGCAAGGCGGCCGCGGCCCGGGTCCTGAGCGCGCCGTTCACCGTGCACTTGAAGAAGATGAGCCGTCAGGACCCGATGCTTTTGTTTGGGGGAGGGGGTTGCTCGTTTCATCTTGTTTCTGTTGACTTCAGCCGAGGACCCAAGCCGCACGGCTTATCTCGTGAGCGGCGGCGCGTTGCTGGAGGCGTGCCGCGACCTTGAGCAAAGCCTCGGGGTCCGGCCATGGCTTCAAATCCCAAATCTCCAGGATTTTGGCTGGGGAAGGGGGTGTCTGTATAAGACTCGGCACAATGCAGTAGTTCCCATTTTCTTTTCCAACCTATATATCGCTGAATAACCGATTTTGGGGAGTAGAGGTTTGAAAAGTAGAGGGCGTGAATTAGCATCAGGACCCGGGAAACACCACAAATCCTGAACACCAAATCCTAAACGCTCAACCCCAAAACAGCAAATCCTAAACCCTCAACCCTAAACCCTCAATGGCGGCGGGCCGCCTTTGTTCTGATCTTGTTGGGCACATGGGGGGCTATCAAGGGATATATAGGATTTAGAGTTTAGGATTTTGGGCTTTGGGCGTAGGGTTTCCTACATTTACCCACACCCTCCCCTATATGCCCGCAGCATCTTCATGTTACGTGCGCATCCACGGCCATAGCATCGGTACAAATACTTCCACAACTGCAAGATTACTGTCATTTACAGCGAAACAAGATACTAGCGAATGCATGCCGGCACCCATTATAGCGTTCACTTCGACCACATCCACAACAAGTAAATCCATGCCGGCACCCATAATAACGTTCACTTCGACCACATCCACAACCACCAAAACACTGCTACACACGGCACATTTCGATGAGCGGGCATTTGGCGCGGGCAAATAGAGGGGGTGGGGGCGTACATTTAGGGTGCCTTTTTTAGGGGGGGGGTTGTAGTATGTCGGGGTCTTCATTGGGTTTTTATTATTCTGGGAAATTGTCAGCTGCTTGTCCATCGACGCTTTGGGTAGAGAAAATTTACAAAGAATGCTGGTAGCCTTTCGGAGTTTGGGGCATAACTTCTGCCAGGTTGTTGGGCTGACTAATACCTTCTAGGTTCATATCTGGGTTATTGCAGGTTTTAGGGCGGCTCTGAAACGAAAATTGTGATCGGCAAGGTATACCCCAATTAGTAAATTTGCGGAAGCCTCAGAATCTAAAAGCACCATGCTGCGCATGATGATGCCTTGTTCAGGTCGTGCTTGGGGGCTGGGCTGGCAAGGTGGGTGTAGTATTAAAACTCAAACCCTAAAGTCTAGGACAGAGGAAGCAGCATCGATTCTGTAGCCATAGATTCATGTTCTTTGGAGAGCTCTTGCATGGGCTTCTACGTTAGCTTACGGGTTTAGGGTTTAGGGTGTAGGATTGTTGGCTTAGGGTTTAAGGCTTTTGGTTTTACTGGCAAACCGAGGGTAAACCCTAAACCCGAAACCCTAAACCCGAAACGCTAAACCCTAAACCCTAAACTGAGAACTGAGGCGGTGGCGAACTGGCACGAGACATGCAACCAGCCGTTCCTGGACCGTTTAGCCTTGATCTCAAGTCTTAAGTAATAAAGCGGATCATATTGGGGTTACATAGGGATTATATAGGGATTACAGGGATTATATACGGGTTATATAGGGATGATAGGGATTATGTAGGGATTATGTAGGGGTTATATACGGATAATATTGGGATAATATAGGGGATATCCTTGGGGTTACATTGGGATAATGGAAACGAAAATGGAAACTTGTATTATAGATTTGGCCAACACGCATCATTGAAAAATGCTTCATGTATCCGAGGATTTTGGGCACGGATACCTCCGCTTAGTGTCCGAAACCCCATGACCTTGATCAAGTGTATCGAAACCCCAACACTACAAGCCGTGGACCTGAAACCCTTAGACTCTTCGGGTCTTTGGCCTAGACCTGAAGGTCTAGATTCTGAACCCTAAACCATAAACGCAAAAGCCCTAATCCATCAATTCTAAACCCCAAACCCTACACCGCCCAACACCCTAATCCCTAAGTTCTAAGCCCTACACCCAAAATCTTCAATTCCAGAACCCTAGACCCTGATGCTGGGCTGCTGCGAAGGCACTTGAACTCAGTGGCTAGAATCAACCCACATAAGGGGGTTTAGGGTTTAGGGTTTTCATAAGGGCCCCCTTACCCTAAACCTCCAATCCTAAACCCTTTAACCCTGAAAAGCTTCCTAAACCTTAAACTCTGTACCTTGACCCTACAAAACCTTAAGCCTTAAGCCCTCAACCCTGAAACCCTAAACCCAAACCCCTAAACCTTCAGCCCTTAATGTAGACCTCTAATTAATAAACCCTCTCCCTTAACAAGGATTACAGTAGGGAGCCTAATATAAGGACCCTTAAACGGCGGGGGTCTATTAATCACGGGTTTACATTAAGCCCTGTAGCTGCAGGCTACAGCTTTGGCTGGCAGTGACGGGGGGACTAGGGCTGGTAATGCTCTGTCCAGGCCCATGGGCTTAGGGTTTAGGCTTTAGGGGTTTAGGGTTATAGGGTTATAGGGTTTAGGGTTTAGGGGCTTGGGTTTAGGGTTCTAGGGTTTAGGGTTTAGGGCGCAGGGTTCGGGTTTAGGGTTCTGGGATTAGCGTTTAGGGTCCCAGGGAACCTGGTTCTGTTAAGAAGGTTCTCCGAGATATGGTACCCTTTACGGAAGCTATAGGGATTCTACAGGGATATATTGGGTTCTCTAGGCTATATAGGGCAGTGAGCAAGCAAATTAAATCTGCTATGTAGGGTTCAGGGTTTAGGGATTGCAGGGCTATGTTCTCCCAATGTTGGAGTATCAACCGGTAAAAATGTGGAACATTAAGTGGAGACTGACTTCATGTAGGGGTTAGTGGTGATGTTTAATCTCCCAAAATTAGGGAATCTTTTTTGAGGGGACCTACACCTAGAACTTTGAACTCAGGTTACGAGAGCCTCATATGGACTACAGTCAATAGGAGCCTTATTCAGGGACCATTTGCAGTGGACATAGGGGTCCCTGATGTAGTTTAGTACAGTCCCTCATGGAATTCCTCAAAAGGAACCCATGTCTGTTAATAACCTTAAACCCTAAACACTAGATCATGATAATATTGACTGTAGCTCATATAAGGGTGACCCTTTACAGGGACCTCCGTAAGACCTTGCCATGGCCTCCTTAAGGCTCCTTTCGGTAACGTATAGTCTCCCAGCATGGAGCCGCCATACATCGTAAGGGCTTCCTTCGTGAACCCTGAACTCAACCCTGAACTTGAGACCCTGAACTCTAAATCCTAAACCTTAGACCCTAAACCCTAGACCCTAACCCTAAACCCCCGACCCTAGACGCAAAAACTTAAAATCCTGAGCAAACATTTGACATCCTGGACCCCTTATCTTACTTCGCCAATGGACGAACGTTAACCATTCTGGGCTTCCTTTTAGGGTCTCCATAATAAAGTCTAAACATGTTTGGCCCTGGTTATTGGGGAAGAGAGATATACCTCTACATTCCCTATATAATCCCTATAATTTAGTAGTTTCCATTATATCTTCCATTATTCCCAAAATATCCCCAATATTGCCCTGGACCCCTTATCCCTATATACCTCTACATTGTAGTCCCCTATATAATCCCCTATATAACCCCCCTTTAAGGAGTTTAGACTATAGCTCCTAAATCCAAAACCCCTAAACCCTTAAACTCTAAACCCCTACTCTGTAAACCATTATAATACGGGGCCTAATACGGGGCCTAATTTAGGACCCCCAAAATGCTACCCCTGATTTTGGGAACCCCCATATACCTCTACATTCCCTGAAGGCCTGGTGAGTCTGACTGCGGCCCGGCGCCGCTTAGCAGACAAGGGCCTGCTTCTTGCCACGCAAAGCCCGGGGTGGTTGGCAAGGTTTAAGGGTTTTAGGGGTTTAGGTAAGGGTTTAGGATGGTTTAGGGTTTAGGGGTTTAGGATGGTTTAGGGTTTAGGGGTTTAGGATGGTTTAGGGGTTAGGGGTTTAGGATGGTTTGGGGGTTTAGGGGTTGAGGGGTTTAAGGGTTTAAAGGTTTAGGGGTTTAGGGTTTCAAGGTTTAATGGCTTGGGGTTTAGGAGTGTCCCCACTAATACTACTATAGTGGTTCTAGGGGTTTTATAGGGATTCGGGACATCGACCCCAG